TGGCTGCCCGGGGTCCCAGGCGGCTACCTGGCTGCCCGGGGTCCCAGGCGGCTACCTGGCTGCCCGGGGTCCCAGGCGGCTACCTGGCTGCCCGGGGTCCCAGGCGGCTACCTGGTTGCCCGGGGTCCCAGGCGGTTACCTGGCTGCCCGGGGTCCCAGGCGGCTACCTGGCTGCCCGGGGTCCCAGGCGGCTACCTGGCTGCCCGGGGTCCCAGGCGGCCACCTGGCTGCCCGGGGTCCCAGGCGGCCACCTGGCTGCCCGGGGTCCCAGGCGGCTACCTGGCTGCCCAGGGTCCAAGGCGGCCACCTGGCTGCCCAGGGTCCAAGGCGGCCACCTGGCTGCCCAGGGTCCCAGGCGGCTACCTGGCTGCCCAGGGTCCTAGGCGGTTACCTGGCTGCCCAGGGTCCTAGGCGGTTACCTGGCTGCCCAGGGTCCTAGGCGGTTACCTGGCTGCCCAGGGTCCCAGGCGGCTACCTGGCTGCCAGGGTCCCAGGCGGCTACCTGGCCGCCCAGGGTCCCAGGCGGCTACCTATAGCGCTGCCTTTATCTCTGTGGAAAGAAAGGAGCCACATTGGGGAAAAGAGGGGAAAAATATATATAAAAAAAAGATATTAAAAAAACTCAGCAGAAGAAAAGCACATAAAAACACGAGAGACATTTCAGCAGAGGGTCACATCCGAGGCGGAGTCACACGAAGTCAATCTGACATTTGAGTCGTTATTTATGGATGTTATCATCTTTGTTCCTCTTTCTTCCCGTCTTTAAAGCAGCTTCAGATTGTTTTATCATCTTTGTGACCGTTTCCAGAAGCAGGGCCTCTACAACCCTGAACCTCTCACCGCTTTACTGCTTCCTGTTTTTACTCATGCATAATTATGACAACGGACAAAGAGGATACATTAGTTTAACCTGTTTATTTCTATTAGCAAATTCAAATCTGTTCCTTTCTATTCGAGCCCCCTGACACTAAAAGCCCAAAATAAAAGCCAGTGAAAGCAGAGCTATAACTTGTCCACCACATATCAGGCTTTTTGAAGGATCTCTGCTCAGAAATTAAACTTTATAGATTTTTTTTATTATTACCTACATGCAAAATGACATCCTTGCAGGAAAGCTAACGGTGCATCTCCCCCTGAACACGGCATCATGGTGAAACAGGATTGGCCTAGTCAAAGTTAATCTGTGGCAAGACTTAAAAACTGCTGATGATGGATTCCTTCCATCCAGTCTGACTGATCTTTAAACATTTGAGTTGGATGCATCAGAACAACAATTGTTTTTCAGTGTTTAATGATTAGAAAAAAAGCTAAAAAAAAAAACCTGTTATAATCCGGAAAAAATCGTCTGAATTTGTGGAAAATCTAAAGCAGTTTAGATAATCCAGATTAAAATGAGGAAGATGTGTTTATTCTAAATATGCTGATGCTGGTTTTATCTCTAGAGTTAAACCCAGTCCAGCTGAGGGCACCAAGACCAACCCCTCTAAGCGTCATCGGGACCGTCTGAACTCAGAACTGGACCGCCTCGCCAGCCTGCTGCCCTTCCCTGAGGAAGTCATCTCCAGCCTGGACAAGCTGTCCATCCTGAGGCTCAGCGTTAGCTACCTGCGCACCAAGAGCTTCTTCTCAGGTGGGGAACCAAGCTCAGACCCAGCCTGGGATCTAACATCACCTCTATAAACTCACAACTTCAGTAGAAAATGGGTTTTAATCTCAAAATAAGTCAATTTGTTCCTCTGTAGGCAGAGGGGGGGGCAACCTCTAAACACTAGCAGCTCTGAGGCACGGCGTTGGCAGCGGCATGCGAATTCTGTGGTGTAATAAACAATGAGAATAAGTTAAAATCCTCATGATAGCCCTCTGATGTTGGAATGAACCACTTGTTGGACAGAACTGGAGTCTGAGAAGGTTCTGGAGTTCAACATCAAAGGTTTGGGTTTGTGTTGAGAGGAGCAGAACTTTTAGCAGAAATATTTCGATCCTCAGCAGCTTTTATTTTCCATCTCAAAGCTCAGATTCGTAGCTGCTGCCTGTTAATTATCAAAACAAGAAGAATTTCTCCAGGTGCTGTTGGTTGGACTCTGTCACGGCTAAACCCTGCGGGTCAAAATGGATGTTTTAGGGTCCAAACGGCTGTTTCAGGTTAGCATTCTAACAGCCACTGAGCTAACAGGACAGCTCTTCATGTGGGGACGTTTTAATGGAGCGTTTATGTTGAACCAGAACACACCCAGCCCTCGGTGTCAGAACTAGGTCAGAGCACCCAGCTCCGTCTAAGTGCCTGAACTCAGCTCGACCTCCTCTCCTCCTGCCATCCAGACAGAAGAAAGACCCGCCGCGGCTCAGCCCGCTCTCGCCCGTGGCCATGAGATGACCCTCATCCCGAAGGGTGAGCCATCCACTAATGTAGGTCTGGGGAGCCGGACCCATTAATGCGGGTGCTGCGGAGATGAAAGAATAAAAACACAGGGGGATAATCCACTCAGGGGAGGCTTACAGGCGTTTAGAGGAGGGGAGGGTGCAGCCAGAACAAAGTACAATCAGTGTGTAAAACCCAGGAAAGCTGCAGCATCGGGACGTGATTCAGACCTAAACGATCAGCCATGATATCATGATGAGAAGCTTCAACCTGCAGATGAGTTGGTGAGTCTATAAACCTGCAGAGATGTTTCCTCTTGAAGCTAGAAAGGCCAAATTAAAGACTGAAACTTACCCTAATGATGTGACCTAAGGATGACCAGCACATTTACAAAACTACAAACACTCTGAGAGCTGCTAGAGGAAACAAACCAGCTGTCCATAACGAGGACGGTCCAGGAGACATTGTCCAAGATCTCCAGAGAGAGACTGATCTACACGGCCTGATAGACTATTTTAGGTTCAGCAGATCAAATGATTGGACGTGTGTTAGTGTAGAAACAGACTGAGCTGTTTGAACGAGTCAACATGGCTACCATGGCTAGCCGAGTCTGCTCCTCCAGAGTTCTGAACACGTCTGGTTTTGGATTTCCTTGTTGATCAGAGCAGAACCATTTTCTTGTGTTTTGTCGGCCTAAACTAGTTGAACAAAATAATATACTAGTTGGAAACCGCCATTTGCCAGTTTTGAAAACGGCATATGCCAGTTCAAAAACAGCCTAAGCTAGTTGAACAAAGGAATGTACTAGTTGGAAACAGCCATTTGCCAGTTTTGAAAA